AGAGTTACATAGAGTTACGTTAGGATTCCGTTAGTTTTGGAATTGTTAGGGGTGATTTGATTTCACATTTTCTCGGGATATGGGATTGGGATGAGTCTCCTGGTTTGTTTCTGGAATAGAGTGGGCCACGCCTCACAGGAGTCTCCCCCAGGAGACACAAGACAATCACTTTAGAATTCAAGAAAACAAAAATAATGTGTCTCACTTTGTTCATAAAGAAGCCCTTTGATGACATGGCCAAAAAGGGGCAGAGCCTGAGGGACAGACTCTTAGAAAGGTGCCCATGGAACAGGATCCCACAGAGTGTTCCTCTCAAATTCTTTAGAACTTTACGCTGTTTTGTGGGACCACCGTCTCCCACTCCTTTCCTAAGAACACAGTGTTTTTCTTGATAGAATGTGTTTCAAATGTGTAGACTGTTTGCACAATAAAATAAAGTTCCTCCCAAATCAAGAATCTGTAATCTTAGGTTCTTCTACCTGCATTATTCTTCAGCCCACATTGTTCCATTTGACCATCAGAATGTTTACATATGTATGTATGTCTGGTTGGATGGATGGATGGATGGATGGATGCATGCATGCATGGATGGATGGATACACTCGTTTTATTCAACACCTATTTCTTGAGCACTCCTGTGCCCTGAGGACGGGCCTGGCACCAGGTAGATACCAGGGAGGTATGAAGATGAGTGAAGCTTTCAGTCCAGTTGGGGAGACAGATGTGGAAACAGAATCACAACACGATGTGGCAAATTCTCTGGGAGCACAGAACACCATCACTGACTCTTCCTGATACAGTCAGGAAGGGGTGACATTGGAACTGGGTCTTACAGGCAAGTGTCTTCTCCCAGTGGAGAAGGAGAAGGGCACCCCGGTGGAGGGAACAGCATGAGCTCAGGTACAGGGGCATGGAGGAGCTGTGCATGGCAGGTGGGACAAGTTGATGGGGACTGCTGGGTCACAGGTTCAGAAAGGCACTAAGCTTAAGGGCTGACCCTGGTACTTGACAGATCCTGCTTCATTTGGTCCTGCAGCAAGTCTGCAAGATAGTAGGGAGCAACCTCAGGAGTCCCATGCTTCTCCTGACCTTACTTTTCCAAACACAGTGTACATTTCTGGATATCTTAAGCTCCTTCTTGGTTTTATCCATCTCTCACTTTACACTTGTCCATCGGAGGTGAGTTGTCCCCTCTCCTTCACCTTTTGATTCCTGCTGCTTAAATATCTGTAGGGATGGAGGAAGGTTGAGACCACAAAGCTGTGAAGCACAGACTTCAACTGACAAGGGAGGTAGAGGAAAGCAGGCAGGTGGAGGAGAGCAGGCAGGTGGAGGAGAGCGGGGCAGAGACCTGCTGGCGGGAATGGCATGCAGAAGTTCTGCAGACCAGCACAGTGGGGAGTGGGCTCCGGACATCACCAACTGTGACTGCCTCCAGCTGCATTCAGCAACCATGGAAAGGTCATGGGGATGCCTTTCCCAAAGTGGGAAGCTGCTTTAGCTCCAACCCAGGCTTACGAATGCAACAGATTGGAATTTTTTGAAGCACGTAGAGCCCTTCGCAGCATTCATAGCAATAAACATATGTCTCAAGTCGAAAGAAAATATAGTCCTACACAATCTGCGGTTGTGTATTTTTATGCTTTTTATAATACACGTCCATGCATTCCATCTTGATGTGTGTGTGTGTGTTTCCCAGCAGAGTTCTCTGCTTATCGTGTCTATCACAATATATCCATTTCCCTATGATAATCCATTTCTCTGTGAGAACATGTAAGAACTTCAGATGGTTTCACATCTTAGCTGAACAGAAGAGTCTGTTGGGTTCTGACCACTTGCCTCAGGAAACACATCATTGTATCCTCTCAAACATTTGTCTGTTGAATAGTCAGCCACTCACTATGGAAACACCCCCCAAAGCATTCTCAGTCCTTTGGATCTCAGCCCTTTTCTGGATCTATGAAGATGTCCACACTTAATAATTCCAACAGAATGCAAATTGGCCAAACCTCACAAGCCTCATAGGAAGACCCTGTTTGCAAATGTCATGCCACAGGTGGGTGACCAGGGGAGTCATTCCAATGCCAGTCTTTGCCGGAGGTTCCTGGGGTATTGTCCTCCAGTGATCCAGGATGGTCCAATTTGACCTTTCACTCCAGCCTCCATGTCAAAGCCCCGAGCTGCTGCTCTGCTTGCTGGTGTCGTCTGGGAAAAAGCTACCCTTTGGGGCTCAGAGAATCAGACTCCCCACTGAGCCCATGGTGGGACAGGAATCGTGGGATAATTTGCATAAAGCTGTGCCAGGAACACCTGTTCCCTTTCATAAAGCTGTGCCAGGAACCGTCTGTTCCCAGCAGACACGACATTCCCTATTCTACACCTGGTTGCACTACTCATTCAGGAAATAGTTGTGCATTTTTAGACTTCTTAAAAACGGGGAAAAAAGAGTGGCTTTTCTCTGAGTGAAATTTATGTCACCTTATTTAAGTATAAATGAAAGAGAATCCAAAACCACCAGAT